ATATAATTTTTTCATCGTATGTCAGTCTCTTACATTTCAAGCTCATTTTGTGAAGCTTGATTTATCTAAAGCTGAATGTGTCTTGTTTCTAATTTTTGATTAATAACATGTCATTAAATTTCTAAATTAAAAACTTCTATACCGCAAAAAGTACCGCTATGAAAAGTAGTCAAATATGCACAATACTTACAAATTTTGAGTGGTAAGGTTTGCATGGCCACGGGTATTATAGTATGCGTATCACTACTTTCAAGTACGTTTTGAAAATAAAAAACATTTGAAGAACCTCGCTTGTATGTTGACCAAAATTACTAACTCTATTTCATACTGGGGGAAACCCATTTTATTTGTGGGCGCGGCGCTTTTTTAATTTTTTTTTTTTTGCGAGAGCCAAAACTTCCTCATCTAGCACTAACATATCTTTATTTTCCAAAAGCAAAGCAAATACAAAAATTATATTATTTTTGTGCTTTTTATACATTACATTACGGTGTGATATCGCACGATCTTGTGGCTAAGCGGCTGGCCCAAAACGTGAAATTATCTTCTCAGCGAAGTGTTCTCTCAATATATCCATTAATTGATTAAATGTCACGGAGATCACTGACTTCAATTTCAGTCATCAAATAGTCGGTTATCAAGACGCGAACACGGTCGCCATTGACAGTTACGTTTTCACTGGCATAATTTTTGAAGAAATATGGATCTATGATCCCTTCAACCAACTACACCAAACCATTTTTTTTTTCTGGATGAATTTTGAATTTCTTCAGGTTGCTCTTCGTCCCAAATGCAGCAAATTTGCTTGTTTACATGCCTATTAAGCTAGAAATGATAATGAGACTTTTTAGAGCGAAGCGATGTGGCTTGAGAAGATCAAGTGACTTCAGTTTGTGCATAAAATTCGTTTTTAATTTAAGATCTCATCGTAAAATGCACCAAGTCGTTCCATACATCAGCCCGAGTTGCAGCGCCGAATCGACTCTCCACGGTCTTCGTGTACACTCTCAGCTACGCCTGCTATATTTTCTTCACTGCTTTCTGGACGTAGTCTATTCAGACGAATATTATCCAATAATAAATGCTCAAGCGTGCTCTGTCAAAAAAAGGCTATTGAAAAAGTGCCTCTACTTAGATAATCCGTGACTTTAATAAGCAGTCCTAGTCTGGGCTATTTGATATAACTCAATTTAGAACCTTTGTAGAGGGCTATATTACAATTATTTTAAAAGTATTGTTTCGTAAGGTGAAAGGGGATTTCAACTATATGATTGCCTCGGATATTACGTATAAAAATAGTTTTAAATTCGTTTTCAAGGGACTTGTTTCACAAAATAATGAGGATAGAATTGAATTGACAGTTAAGTCAAAAAAATTATGTATAAATGAGCGTTGATCACAATTCGAATTCGGTTTAAATCTTCACCATCTGCAATAAAGAAAGTGAAAGTTTCGCAAACAAAGTGAAATCGGACGGAAACTCACAATTAAAAATCGGGAACAAAATGAAATCGCTATAATTTTGAACAGTGTTTATAAAACGCGGTAAGTGAACAAAACTAATATTCTATAAAGATGGTAAAAGTAATTAAATTTTTAAGATAAAATATATTTTTAAAACAATAACAACTTGTTTAGAAAATTATATATAAATGAAATATTATGTCTTATGCTTTTCTTGCGGCACAGATGTCGGGAGCTTACGAGAGCACTGCGCAACGATCGATGCTCCATACGTTTTAAGAGCGGTAGGTGGACAAAAAATTCAATATCTTTGGAATGGTATGAATGAACCAAATTCTTTTTTTTAAGATTATTAAAGACTGAATACTTTCCGCGTTGTGTCACATACTTTTTTCTAGTGTGAAGTATACATTAGAAATTTCAATAGTTTAACAAAAAATTATGGTTAATACTATTATTTAAACAAATTGACCGTGAAAAAATATTTTTAATACAGCACGGACATTTTTCTTTGGGTTCACAAAATTTCATCGATTTATCTTCAGTAGTTTATAAGAAAATAATTTTACAATTTTACCAAAATGAATTTTGACGAAATATTCATAACGGGGGATATGCGTCTGGTTCCTTGCCTAATGAACTGCTAATTTTCAAAATCGGAGATTTTTCGAATTGTGCAATTTCTTCTACATTTGCATATACCAAACGTGAGATATCTTAATTAAATTAACTGACATGTTTCTCTGACCAGTTATTTTGTTATGTTTGCACTAAATATAGTTTTTTCTTCGAATTGTATTAATAGAATTAAATGGAAATGTTTTCTGGGGCATATTTTAATTTAATTAAAAAAATTTCAGAAATCTCTGCAGACTTTCATATAGTTTCCTTTAGCCAATATAAATATTTTCAAACTTTCGGGAGAGCTTACTTGTATATTGTGTACATACATATCTCGGCCAATATGTGCGTTATCTCAATGAAAATGCGAGAGCGTGTTTTCTCATAATGCTTGTATATTTGTGCGTACAATGGATAAAATTTGGTGAAAACTTGACCTATCGCCATATATTAAATATTAGGATTTTGGAACATCCAGCTGACTTTACTCTATTTGATTGGTATCTTAATGATACGCAGCAAAACTAGATAAAAACTGGTAGTCACCTGAAATGCAAAATAACGTATCATCAAAAGTTCGAAATTGAGTGTCTTATTGATTACGCTTCATTACTTCAAATTACATACATAATATTATATTACATATGTTCAGCATTTTCAGGTTCTGCCCTCAGATATAAACCAGTTTTAACCAATATTACAATTTCTTTTCACTCATGTTCCATTTTATTTCGTGTTTCATTAATGCCACTGTAAATTTCCGAAAATGTTGTTACGTTATTTTGCATTTCAGATGAGGATATGCTACATACAAAAACTTTCGTTTTTCTAAAAGAATCAAAAATAAAAAAATGTTCTTGGGTATACCTGAGTTATCAAAATTAATGCAATCAGCTTTTTCCTCTTTCTACATCAAGTCAGTATATTATATTTATACGTTACATTTAATATTACATGACATAATTTTCGCCAACGCGAACTAAAATATATGAATAAAACTAAATCTAAGTTTATCGCCTTCAATGTTAGTCAAGAAGATGCCAAATTAGATTGTAATTTATGCATATTTATACTCGTGCAACATGCTGCTATAAAGTTCAAGACACCAAATAAAGATATAAAACTGTAATTTGGCACAGATGATCGCCGTAGCAAGGGGCGTTTATGGGCAAACAATTTTTTAAAAGTGGGCGTGGCTCCGCCTTCATCTAAACCAATAAAAGTACAAAAGCAAATGTTTACCTCTTCTTTTTACCGACAATTTCGGTCAATTTGTGAGATATATAATTGAAATTCAGAGAAAACCCTCCTGATCCTTACTATCAGTAGTATGTCTGTGTGCTACATGTGGCATGAATCAGGTCAATCCATTCATAAGCCCTATATACTTAATATCTTTAAAAAAAGTCGGGTGAAAACTTGCTATAGACTATAACTAACAAGCCTTATGTACCTGAAGGTACTTTCCTAGTTTTGGTCCTGGCAAGTTGTAAGGTTATGAAGTGTTCGGTTATGTTCGGACTTAGCTCTTCCTTACTTGTTTAAAATCAAGTTTTGCCAACACCTAAAGACATTTCACCAGATTTGATACTTGAAACTTGCCACAGTATGCGTATTGCTTGCTTCGCAATCAGTTTTTATTCTGACAAATTTTAAGAATTTCATCATCTCGTTTCGGTATCTGCCCTTATCCACAAATATTGAATTGATGTCAAAGACATTCGAGATCAATGATCGCAATTTTGTAGATTTATTCTTAATAAAAATATGTGTAAATGACCTAGTAGGTGATTTTATAATGGTGTTGGAAAACACAAGGATTTAGAGGAAAGTGATCGCAATTTCGTTTCATTTTTATTAAAATATCAGCGTAAATAATCTGGTACTAGATTTCATAATGCCGTTGAAAATTTAAGTTGTGCAGCTAAATACATACTTGATATTTTCGTAGATCTTGCTTCAAGGGTACATTCAAGTTTTATTCTTATCTATGAATTCCGCGGAACTAATATTTCGAAATAATATGCTATAATTTAAGTATGTATGCGAAAGTATGAATCTCAATTAACGTTATTTTCAAACATTAAATTAGATTCTGTGCACTGACCTCGGCTATAATTTCAACATGTCTTTAATGTATTTGGTTATCAGTAGCCAGCAGTCTCTGTGATTCTACAGATTCTCAATTAAAAAGTTATTATTATTTTCTTATAACACATACTGTGTGAGCATACAAGAAGCTTAAGATTTCGATTGCATAATCAAGAGTATGATGTTTTGAAATCTTCAAGAGAAATCATAGAGTATACGAGTACATATTAACGGAAATACATGTGGATACTTATTCTTCAAGTACATTAAAAATCGCCAAGAATTACAGAGTGCAGAATGTTTTTGGAATATCATTATCGAACAAAAATTATCATACAAATTTGAGACGAAAATAGAAGATATTTCCTTTTTATAGGCAAAAAAGATATCCTGAAGACATACGACTAACTCCGTTTTCAATGAGGTCTAAAACTTAGAAATTTCCGAACTGCAATGAAATCGGTCTCAATATATGAATTCCCGCTCAAAGCCGAAAGGACATATTGAGAATTATCTTCTCAACAAATTCCCATAAATCGGTGTAGTTTTCTGATGGAACAAAATGGAAGTGTAAACCACGCCACTCAATTATTTAATACGTGAAAAAATTTGGAATGATAAAGTAAGTTCTGAAAGCGATTTTGCATTTGTCAAAAACTAAAATAACACAGTATTCATCAAGGTTATGATTATTCCGGAAATTAAACGTTGGAAAATCTTTGTGTTGTTAGTAAAAAATTTTATACATAGCTCATCATAAAGCATCAAATTATAAATAAATTTAAAAAATATGCTGACCAATTTATGGACTCGAGGAGCAAGTGTGACCAAGCTAGAGTTAGTTTCACAATCATCTGGATACATTTTTAGATAATCTCCGAAACAATAATGAGGAAGAGAGAGAGATAGAGGTTTTACCAGGACATAAAGTGAGAGAAAAAAGATATCAAACCATATGAGATCGTTACATGATATAAGACTAGTGTTGGTCCTTAAAAATGAGATTGTCAACTGGAAAAACCATGTATGTTTTTAAAAAACAAAATCGAAGTTACAAATGTATGTGTATTTTTTTAATGGCTTTGTAATGCAAAATGGAAATAAGTCTTTAAAAACAAGTTAGGAAGGGCTAATTTCGGGTAAAACTGAATATTTTATACTCAAGAGATAAACAGTAAAACGTCAACCAAAGGTTCGGAATTCAATACACTGACTGACATATTTAGAATAAGCTTTTCGGTCAAAAGTCAACTATAGATACTGGATTTTGACAATTTTTGGTGTTTTAAAGGAATTACTATTACACAGTTTTACTCTGCTATATTAATTGCTTGCTAACTTCTGTACTGGAAAGTGAAAGAAACAAATGGAATTTAAAATTATGCTATATGGGAATTAAGCGTGGTTGTAGTCCGATTTCGTCCATTTTCGAGCTGACGTATAGGAATGTGAGAATAATGCAACGCACTAAATTTAGCCGGAAGGTTTGGTCGGGTCCCAAGATATTTAATTTCACGAAAAGTGGGCGGTGCCAAGCCCACCATACAATTGTTACCCAAGTTTTTTAGGGTGTAAATTTTCAGGTTTCTGACACATTTAGTTATTGATTTATCGCACCGTTATAGGGGGAGTGGACGATGCTATCTTTCGATTTCATCCATTTTTACAGTGTCGATATGTGTTTAAGAGATTGGTTTATTTTGGCTTAAGTGGTTTAGGAAATATCTTTAATCTTTAGCCCACAGTTGCCCTTAGTTTTAGGTGATATATAAAACCTCTAAGTAGCCACATGTTAAAAAAATACCCAAGTATTATAAACGAGAACAAATCTTCCAAAAAAAATTAATGATTTTATGAATATTAAGCGCAAATATATCCAAAATCGTTATCACATCGGACAACGAAATCATTATAGACCAGTGTTATTATTCATAATTTTATTAAAAACTGTGAGTATTTAGTTTCTTGAAATCGCTTTTTAGATAAACTATTCTGCAGGATATCTCTTAAAGATGGTGGAAATCTTGGAGAGTACATTAAAATTTCCACCCTTAACAGGTTATATTAAGTTTGTTACGAAGTTTGTAATGGATTTATAATAATATATGCATATGTATATATTATAGCTTAGATGATTTAGCCATGTACATAGGTTTGTACAGTATATTGATATAGTCGGTTAGTTTCTGGGGAAAACTTTAACACGCCATTTTCTCACTTTGTTGCTCATTTGTCGGGAACACCGATATCAAACTACTGTAATCTCCAAAAAAGTGTTTCAGATCGGACGACTACAGCATATAGATGTCATACAAATTGACCAATCAAAATCAAGTCCTTGTATGGGAAATTTTTTGATTTGACAAGATAGCTTCACCAAATTGGCAGGTGGTATTATCCAAGGCAACTTTATAATCCTCAAGCAAATTGTTCAGATCGGAAGACTGTAGCATATGCATATATCCTAATGAAGGTTATTAACAACCAAAATTAATAATTTTTCATATATTTTTATATTTATTTATCACGTGCACGTTAACCTTTTCTAACAAACAAATTTGTTGATTTGAGTAGGTTAATACTTTTTATATAATATACATATGTATACATTTTTTTATGTTGTATGCTTATTATCCTTCGAATCCTTTGTTTATTTTTTTTTTTAATTAACGAGTTTTAATATTTTTGTATGGATCACACTTACTATGGTTGCTCCATTTGTAGCTGCAATCAACAGCGCGATGCCGACGAAAGCCCAACGAATGGGCAACATTGTTATCCTTTATGCACACACACAGCTGTAAAATTCTTTAGTATATGCTTTGCACTCCACTTCGGTTTGAAAAAATATGCGCGTTTTGAACTGAAATAATTTTATATATATTTATATAAATTAAATTATTTTCAACACAATATGCTTTATAGTAAATATTATATAAATATTTCACATGTGTGCTTAACATATTTTCAACGCTCAAGGATATTTCGTATTTAATATTTTGGTAATTTTCTATATTTCTTATTAATATAAGTAAACAACTTATCAAATAAATTTTTCGGATTTTTGAAACACAATATATACAACAGTTATTACACGTTCACCGTTATTTTCACTAAAAACAACTTATATCCTTTGAATGCTACACAAATGCTTAGTTTTAATTTAATCTTTGCCACTCTTACAAGAATTAATTCCGATTTCAGGGCTTCCGATCACGACAACCGCTGGATTGCGAATAACAGCAATGAAAACCGATGGTTCCACAATTGGAGAGCTCCAATTGGAAATGACGAGTGAGTTCATTCCAAATTGTCATTGTCTATGTGAAAGAGTAATAACAACAAATAATAAAAATAAGTATATAAAGAAGAGTTTTATAAATTTACATTATAATTCAATGTGATCGCAAACACACGCAACACACATGCCTACAAATTCAATTTACTATATCCATGTATGTATGTGGTTTTGCGTATATTTATGTGTGCTTATGTAGGACTATCAGCACGCATACACGCCTGTCTGAGAATCGCTAAGCCATAGACAGCACAACTGACGCTCAAACATTTATATGCCCCTGCACACATACAAGCACATAGTGGATGTCTGTATGTATGTATGTAGAAGAGTCACTAATAGACAATTTTTCCGAAAGCCATAAACATTTCAGATCGCGTGAATCGATCATTTTACTCGTTGCTGCTCCACTTCAGTTGCGAAGCGCAGCTCATCGTCCGGCTCATCTGCGTCGAGAACAGAATGTGTATTTCAGGCGCCACCGTCTCCATGCAATACTCGAAGCCTACAACAGCAATACAATGTTTTGATCTTTCAATGTCTTTTCCTTCATGTCTGCGTCATTAACTTGTGCCGGTTGGTATCTCAACATATTGCGTCAAGTGGTCTGGGAGTTTTCATCAAATTGCTAAAGAAATTGTCATAGACTTTTGACCTATTTCGTGGACAAACACAGATGTATGAAACTTCTTTGACAATAAACAGCAACAAGAATTACTTAAAAAACCTCATATACATATAATAAATGCATTTACCATTGCAACGATAAACATACATTCTGTCAAATAAGATCCTTTTCTGGGTGTTTACAGAAAAATAAGTGAATTTGTAATATAAAATCGGTTAGATAATCGATAAACTCCAGTTAACTGTCATAATGGTTCACGTTACCTCCTTTACTTCATGGAAAAATTACCCATATTGAATATCTAATATTTCTTCGATTCAAGGTTACTAAGGGAGAAATTACTCGATCTTCCAAAGGCTTGCTTTTAGAAATAATAATTAGTATGAACACATAGCTGAGCATGTAATTTCTAATATAAAATAAGACCACAATCCAGGGGGTTGGGATCGAGTGTTGAAGAGGGGAGCGAGACGCATTTACAGACAAAAATAGGAGAGAGGTCGAGATGCGTGAATATTAAGAGCTTGACAAGCTGGCCGAAAGCAGTAATGCTCGAAAATTCTTCAAAAAGATGCAGTGACTTAGAGAAGGTTGCTAGATTGGAGCATACTCTTGTAGCACCCCCAGAGCGACTGATGCCCATAGCATATTAAACTTATGAAGGGAACACTTCTCCAGTCTGCTGAATGGCAGTGAAAGTACAACACCAGGAGAAGGCGAACCCGATTCCCAAATCGTTGACGATGGAGCAGACGTTCCATTGATCGACCATAAAGAAGTTTGAATAGTAATTAATGGAATTAATTGCAGGCTGAGCTATTCACACGTGACGAAGAACTGAAAAAGAGAGAGATTAGCTTCTATGTAGAATATGGTCGAACGAAAGCATGCCCGACGATAAGAATTTATATGTGCTCCACCCAATCCACAAAAAGCAGACCCCGCAATCTGCGCCAACTTCCGTTTGATAAGAAAGATTAAAGTCCACCGTCAACAAACTGATTGGACCTGAAAAATCAACAGCTGACCAGATATTCACCATGCGCACAATCTTGGAAAAGGCCCGTGAAATGAGAATCGACACTCTGCTCATCTTCGTCGATATCAAAGCTTATTTTGACAGCACGAAAAGGAGCTGCCTTTATGCCGCTATGTCCGAATTTGTTATCCCCGCAAAACTACGTTGAACAGTGCCAAAATACCTCGGTCACGATCGGGAAGACCTCTACAAGTCGTATGATACCAAACGAGGTTTCGAACGAGGCGACTCCCTATTGTGTAACTTCTTCAATCTACTGCTGGAGCAGATAATTCGAGCTGCAGAGCTTAATCTAGCAGATACAATTTTCTATATGAGTGCACAGCTATTGATATCATTGATTCTGTTTTATTCAGACTGGGTAAGGAAGCGAAGCAAATGGATATGGTAGTGAACGACCACCAGGTGCTACCTAAACTATGTAGGCATTTAAGAAATAAAGTTCCTCTCGACGAACAAAGACCAAATACTGCAAGTTACTCACCATCCCCGTCTTGTTGCAGAGAAATGGACGATGACAACATCTGATGATGCGGCGTTTCTGCGGAAGATTTATGGTCCTTTGTCTAGCTCTGAGGATATTCGATGCAGTATCCGTTGGTGGAAGCAGAGGAAAGGAAAGACCTCCACTCCGTCGGAAAGGCCAGGTGGTGAAGAATCTGGCTCCACTTGGAATTACCGATTGGCGCTAAACAGCGAAGAGTAAGAACGACTGGCGCGCTGTTTTAAACTCGGCTATAAAGAAGAAGTATARTAACTTAATATTTATTTATTATAGATATACAAACATTGATTAAGTTATCGTCCTTTTCGTAATTTTTGGTTTTGTGGACAAGAACTTTTCTTTCAATATTCAACAAATTCAATATTATTTCATACTCTTTAAGCCAATCATATTTGCGAGCTTTTTTTGGTCTTATAAATATTAATTGTTGAAACTGAGGACTTATTTAACAGAACGTAATGAATTAATTGCTAAGATGGTTTGACCCAAGAAAAGCCATGCACTCTCTTTAAATGTTGTCGATCAGAACACTCGTTCACGATCGCCTTCAGATGTATCTGTTTTCGCTTGACGTTTGTCATTTGCCGGCTGCTTAGCAGCATTTTGCCTTTCCGCCGATAGTCGATCGCCAAATCAGCAATGTCCCTATATACTGTTGACATAACCACATATACATACTATATAAACATACCATTAAAAGCGTTCGCATTCGATCGATCGCCGTGCAATTGTTGCGATACATTTTCGAGTGCATGCTTACATACATACGTTGCATATGGACATTTTGTCATGACAAAACGCCGGCTGTGGGATGAATGCCTATTGGGATAGGAGCACTTAGCTGTACATCCACACTTACTCTTACATATGCACAATATTTCAATTTAAAAGCATATGTGGCAAGTAAGTACTTTCTCATTTGTTCCACGCTTTACTCTTGAGTATTTTCAAAAAGCTAAAACCCACATAATTTCAATTAAATCTACAGTTGATCGTCCACTTACATATACATATATGTATATATTTTACATAATTACCATTTTATGCCAATGTTTCTACCGATACTTTGCCATGCATCCAAAACACTCATACTACAAACGTATCCCCCATACATATGAGCATTTTCATGTCTAACTTAAACTTCGGTTTGTTTGACTTGGAAATGTAAAATGTTTAATTGCTTTAATGAATGTGCGACATTGCCATGTCCCACAATTCGTATAAGAAATTATTTTATTGCTTGTAATTATAATTTATGTGACATTGTTGGGCTTGAAAAGGGTATGTGGCAACTTGTTGAACAATGGATAGTTAAGAGTGTTCTGGCTTTATGGATGCCGAGTTTTAAACAGCCCGTCGTTATTCCATTTCGCTATTGGTCGCCAAGTAGATTTTCCAAATGCAGCCAGGTTCTTCTCCACCTGATCTTTCCAATTAAGAGAAGGTCTTCCTTTTCCTCTGAAATTATCTACGACTTCAAAGTTATGACTGTCAAAATGACGTTGGACCCAAGTTACATGTGCGACGACTGTTTTTTTGATGACCAGAGATATTTCGTCTTACCATCGTTCATTACCAGACCCATTTCCTTCACTTTCTTATCGAGTCAGGAGAAAGCAGAACTAACGGCGCGGTTATTAAGGACAATGATATCAATATCATAATATCATCGGCGTACGCCAGCAACTGTATAGAAGATTGTACTTTCTCTATACAATTTTTCAGCTCGAATTATTTTATCTAGGAGTAGATTGAAGAAGTCGCGTTGTCTGGAACCTCGTAGAGGTCCGTCCCGATCCCACGGAGCGTTTGGTATTGCCGAATTAGTTTTGCAGAAATGCCAAATTCAGAGATCGGGGCATAAAAGCAGTTCCTTTTCGTGTGTGTCAATCCTCTTTACTCGGTTCTTTTCAATAGATTTGACTCATTGTAAATCTCTGGTCAGTTGTTGATTTTTCAACGTAAAGTTACACTGACATGCTTTCGTCCGACCATATTCTACAAAAAAGCTTATACATATTCCTTATCAGTTCTTCGCCACCGTATTTGTCGGAAACCATTTTCTCCTCCCGGTTTGTTGTTCTTGATCCATTGGGGAGTCGAGTTCAACATCTCTTGGTCTTATGCCATCACTGGCATTCGGCAGGTTGGAGAAGTGTCTGTTTCATAATTTTCGTATGCTCTGGGCCTCGCTTACTAGATCACCTCCGGAAGTTCTACAAGAGTATGCGGCGGTTTTGAAACCTTCTTAGTGACCGCATCTTTTCGTAGAATTTTTAAGCATTACCTCTGTTGGCAAGCTTGTCAAACTTTTCGTAATCATGCATTTAAACCTCTCCCTTGTTTTGTTTGCAAATGCGTCTCGTTTCCGTTTTCAACTCTCGGTATATAACCCATGCCGGACATGTGGTGGTCGATTGTTACGTTGCGAGGTAGGTAGTCTGTTTTCTCTCCATAGCGATACGTTACTTCTCATCGAAATAGCTGTTCTTTCGCCTTGTTTTGTTGCAACTGTACCGAAGGTGCTTGAAAGGCCGTCCCAAAATTCCCTTATACCGAGTTGCTGATGAGTGCTCTCAGAAAGCAGGAGTTCAAGTCGAGTAGAAAATCGTTCGGTTGTGAATAGTGGATTGTTTAATAAAAATTTTCGCAAGAAAATCCATTCGCCGAAATAATTTTTTTCTGAGTTCGTAAGATTATCAATGACATCCCTGTAAAATGTCACTTCAAAATAATCACTTACGAATAGTGAAATTATTCAACAAAGAAGTTCCATTAAATTTTGTG